GAGATGAGTGTTGATGAAAGCCTGCAGTAGCTTATTAGAAATACTTTACGTGACGCACCAAGTGTCTGAACCACATGGAAGCGATGACCTGATACTATTGTTGAAGCTCACAAAATTATTCCTTTTGTGATTGCAGCATATTTTCTACACTGATTGCAGATCCTGCTTTTAACATTCTCATCCATGCCTGTAGTTAAAAAGTCATTACATGGATAATTAAAGTGAGTGTCCGCTTCGAACTTCTGCCATTATTGCCGATTAGCGTCTGTTTTTCTCATATAGATATTCCCATATGTCCTTTGTTTCTTGCGTTCACTCAAGGTCCTTTCCTCGCTGCCAATCCTGCCAAAATGTTGGTTTTCGCCTGTAGGTCTTCAGCTGTGTGTGATATTAGACATGAATCGTACCCCAAGCCCAGAACTTCCTCAGCCTCCTTGTCTGTCCGTCGTTTCCTTGTCATGCAGTTTGTTGCATGATTCGGTCTGCCGCAATCCCCAATATCACTGGCTTTGATGGACAGGCTTGTCTTCCCTTCTAACACTTCCATGGGCACTCGATTATGAATCCCTCGTCATGCGGCCTAACTATATAGTTTCTGAATGTGGTTCAGGGCATAGCACTCCATAATGTGCAAACAGTCTCCAAATTGCTATGCTTCACTTTCGATGATTTTGAGGTGGTGAATGGTCTTCCCTAGTCAATAAGGATGCAGATAAAAATTGGCTGGTCACAAGTGATTTGCTTTTATTGCATCCACCTTGTTTTGGTGGGGAATACGCATCCAGAACACCAGTCTTTCCGAGATGAAAAGTTCAAGCAGAATTCTTCCTACTGTGAGAGTTTGACAACGTAGCCCTTCTTTCTGTCGGTAAGTGAATTTACTGCTTACAAAACCTTCTAAAAGAGTGGCTTGAGCGTACCTGTTGCAATCTCTTTGTTCATTTTCAGGACTTCCGGGGGAATTGAGTCTTTTTCTACCGGTTTTCAGTAACCTTATGCTACTTGAGGTATCTCGATTATGTCAGTGGCATACTGTCCACAAACACTCCGATTCCGCCTGCTAGCGGTACTTCGAAAGCCTTCTTGTTCATGGTCAGTTCAGGAATTGCTCAAAGTGGTCACCACCTCTGACAATGTAGTTGAAGATTGAACGATCAATTTATGGTTGTTTGCTCAAACCCAACTTCCCCAATTTTCGCGGAGTCATCAATACACCAGTCATTGTCTCATCGGTCGCTGTTCAGAAAGAAGTCAGGACAAAACCGTCAGAAGTAATATCCTGATTTATTATTGTAATGCTTGTTTATAGACCTTAGTTGTAAAGTTGGCTATATGTTGGTGTTAGAATAAATAATTCTCGAGTCACCAAACTGAGTTCTGGGTTTTGCGTCCGTTCGTACTAAGCGTTTCTGAGAAGCTTCGAGGAACAGCATGAGTCCCAGCGTAGCAAGAGCTGGGCATCAACGGTTTACGCGACGTTGCTGACACCCTCGTTTAACTTCTCTCTCCTCGTTGGTAATTAAATGCCCTCTTGATATCCTTTTATTGACTTCAGCCGTGTTTATTTCTTCTCGGATAGACACCGGGTTTTCTGATATTATGTTCTGAGGTCTCTTTTGGCTGCGACCTACTTGTCATGCATTAGTGGTCAGTGTGCGGCAGTTGTCTCTCCTAGCATTCTTCTTCACTTCTTTTTTCGGTATAATTTACGTTGAACTCGACCTTTCCTTCTCATGTGCACATCCTCATCGACTCGGTTTCTGGTTCACCATTTTCCTCTCTTAATACATATTACAGGTGTCAACAGAGAGATGGTCTTTGCCTTCACGCCTATTTATTAGGAAGACAGCTTTACAGAAATTCATGAAAAACATCTACAGTGAGTTCCAATGTTCTTCCATTCAGGTTTGCTCTGTAATTCGACGTACCGTCGCTGACTGTCTTCTGGAAGTTGCAGCGATATTACTATTATTCTTTCTGAATTAAACTATTAATATAGGTCCATTCACCTTTAAATTATTTACCCTCTTGATATCACCTTCATACACAGAATGACAACTGTCAGTAAAATATACATCTAAGCAGCCTTGCTAACTGTGAACATCGTGAGAACATCCCATGTAACCATTGTCATTTTCACCTCGATCGAAAGGAGACGCATTGGCTGACTGGCTTTCTAAGGGCCCTCATATGACCCCATCATCTAATCTCTCCGGTTTCAGCAAGTTATGGATGAAATTTTAGTACCTTTTCTGAACTTTAAAATTTCTACAGAGACTGAACAGATTTTTCCTCGTAGATGTGCTAGTATGACGCTAAGCTCTGCTTCTCATTCCTCACTTTTAACACCTATTTGTATTCAAATCAAACGGAATTATGTAAAAAGATGTAGGCAGCATGATATATATATGTAACTGTGATATACAACTTCAGCAGTGAAGAGAAAATCGATGAACGAAAGAGTTAATTCTGAAAGTGGCTTCAGAAAATCGGAGTAAATTGCTTACAAAAGGGAGAGAAAGCTGAGGTCGTATTCAACTTCATTGTAGCGGGTGGTGATCTAATTAAATGCACTGGAGAAACCCAACTGGGCGGGAGATAGTGAGTTTCTCTCAGTCTAACGCACTTTAAGCTGAGGGTTTTTCAGATAATGATTTTAATGTAGCTCTCCAACGTCGTGGTTAATTGTTGAACATCCTCCCTTTAATGTAAAATGTCGTTGAGCATAACACCTTTGTACTCTCCGACAGGGGAAGGTGATAATTATAAATTTTTCATACAAACTGGTAAATTTACATGAAACCTTTGCCGTTTTCATAAACATGATCAAGCTTGATATAAATCGCAGCACTATTTCAGCATATCAATTAGTTGATTTATGATACGAGTGCTGAGAATAGGTCCATGTAAATGTAAGTTGCAAAGCCATCTCTAAGAGAACTGTCGAGGTTGAGCGGCAATCAAGATTGTAATCAGAGCAAATAAAGCTTTATTGAAAAAACTTTGCTCTTTTCCTTGGCACAGCTAGACCATAAGGGGGAAGGATAAGAATGAAGAAAGTAACTGTTAATTCCATAATGGCTTCTAGGTTAAAATTTTTCATGAGGTATATGCGGAATGGTTTCAAAGATCAAAAAAATAGAACATGTAGGATAAGCCGAATCACGAATCTGTGTTTGGCTCACAGGATCTAATCTTGACGACAAAATATGCAGATTTGTAGATATTAGGGTCGAAACCCCTATTTGTCGTTTAGATCTAAACAGCCATCAATTTTAAGACCAGGATCTAAACTCATATTGTTGCTATGTTAAACTGAAACAGCCCTACCGAATAAAATATGTTTGAGTGCTCCCTACATCATAATCTTGCATTACTCCTGAGTGAGTCATAATAAAACACAATCGCCAGAGTCCTAGCTGTTTAGGAATATTTTCTGGTGAGAAAGTGTCAAGACTGTCTTGAGGCGAGATCGCGCTACTCACCTGGTTAAAGTGGCTAAGCTAGGGAACCCGAGGATTCGTCTATTATTAGAACAGAGGAAAGTGCGAAATCGTATTCAAAATCGGGTGCATGCATAGCTGTTGAAACGGAATTTAAGACCATTAGGTGATCTGTAGAGGGCCGTAAGTTTGTCTAGCAAACATTTGGTTAACTCAAGGGGAGATGTTTATTTTGTCCCCAGGAGTACACTGGAGCTATGTAAATTTCATCACTGTGCAGCTGGATGCGTGTTAATAATTCAGTTTCATCAGTGGTTGTTCATTCACTTACCTTGACAGGCTGTTGTGTTGAGTCCGGTAGTTCATGCACATTCTAGCTGAAATGTGAATTCAGGAATATGTTAGTAAAGTCATACTCATACCGTGACACCATTTTAGCAACATTACATATATTTACCAGTCTTGGCTGAACATATAGCTTAAAGTTTCCCTCACGAGGCTACTCCGGAATGTGCAACTACCATAATTTCAGAAATGGGTGGTCTTGAATGGTATACCATGGAACTGAAGATTGTTATGGCATCACTATTACTGGCAAGATTCCGAGGATATCCTGTTGGTCCACATAACACCTTTGAAGAAAGGGCAGGTTCAAATATCCTTGGCTGGTTACGGAGAAATGAGATCATGGGGTCATATGAGGGCCCTTAGAAAGCCAGTCAGCCAGTGCGTCTCCTTTCAATCGAGGTGAAAATGACAATGGTTACATGGGATGTTCTCACGATGTTCACAGTTAGCAAGGCTGCTTAGATGTATATTTTACTGACAGTTGTCATTCTGTGTATGAAGGTGATATCAAGGGGGTAAATTATTTAAAGATTGAAAGACCTGAAAAATTTTTATATCTAGAATGATTATTAATGCTAATGTGGAAAAGTTTCTAACGGGGAGAATTACAATGAATTCATTGGTTTGTACCACGCTACAAAATATAAGCCGAAAACCTTTTTAGATAAACTCTCGGTGTATTCTGAATAATCACAAAGTGCAGTGTCATCGCAAAGGGTAAGGACAATGCTGTTGTATTGGGTTGAGTCTGTTGTTTAGGTCAAAATTCGAGTATCATTTAATGCAGGCTTCGGCTGAACGTCTCGGGTTACGGTTTTGCAGAATAAAAATTCCCCTAGGGACTGGAAAAGGTCCCAAAGCAGCCTTCTGTTTGCATAACAACTACTCATTCGTCAAATAATTGTCTATTTTGACCTTTGAAGTCTGCTATGCTATGTAATAAGGCATAACTGTCAATTTGTAAATTAACTAGATGAACAGATTCAAGATCGCTTCGACGAACGAGAATTCCATAGAATGAAGCATGAAGAATCTCTGTCCAGACATTTCATGTAACTGATGATAGACTGCCTACATAAATTTCTAAGCATATTCAGTGACTATGTGCATTCTAAAAGTAGTTGTGGTTTTCTCGCCATTGAAATTCGAACTTCTACAGTGAAAAGGTCATTTACCTGCGACCTGATATTTGCGCGCAGTTCATATCGCATGATGAATATTCACTGCTGTTCAAAGTGGACACATAAGGAAACTAGAAAGTAAGGCTTTTACATTTATATGCAGGGATGTTTGTGTGTAGAATTTTATCAACAATTAACATGTGTGTAAAATAAAATTGTCAACGATTTGTTTCACTTTTACCGGATGTTGTTTGTGTAACTGCGTTTTGAATACCTAATATCTCCCACAGACATTCTTTTTACGCCCATCTGTATTTCAGTAATCCAGATCTTGAGAGAGGCTTAATTTTTTGGGTGTTTTTGAGCAGCTTGTGTCACTTATAAAAATGCGGAAGTGAACAGTATCACTAAGAACTGATCAGTCCTTAGTTTCAGACAGCCCGTTTTGATTTAGTTTATTTTTAACTTTTTCATCTTCACCATATTACTCCGAAATCTTTTGTTAAAGCGGTCGTCTTTTTGTTCCTAACTTGGTTTGGGTAGAATGTTAAGGTTTACTGCCATCAGTGCATTCATGGCGTTTTATTTAATAATGTACATGATTGTAAACATTTTAATTGAAACAATAAACTCACTAGAGTTATAACAAGTGGGGATTTTTAAAATGAATACTGGGGATTCCCACCAGTTCTTATCGTTATTAATACACTCATTTTCACACCTCTCTAAGCGATTTGTGGGCACTTCACTTTGTATTGAGTTGACGAATCATTTTCACATCAACATTTTTATTACTGAAGGGACGAATTTCGTATGGCAGGCAGCACCATCTTTCTACTGTTACTGATTGCACTTGCACATTGTCATTACAATTTCCGAAGGCTGCCTCTTTCCTTTCAGTTTCTTAAATAGATTATACTGTCAGGTTGACAAGCATAATTGGGCCATTTACAGAGCCTCATGGTTTACAGTCGTTAAAGGTTGTTAAAAAGGTGTGAATGAAAATACTCCCACAGTGAAGAATGATAAACAAGGTTTTAACAGAAGGATAACTTAATGGTTGATAAAAGTCTCCACAAGCAAATAGGTAATAATGAAGAGGCATTTCTAAACCCTGTATTTTTTATTCAGTAAAGTAGGAGGAATTCTTGAGTGCTGTTACCTAATATGTCACAGCCAACCTGTCCAAATTTTCTTACACAACTCAAAATGAGAGGCGAAAGTAAAATGATCGTTGTACAACTTCTTATTCTTATCTAGTCACCATTTGTCTTTGTACAAATTAGTTTCTTCCACACAGCTGCTGCCTCTACACCTCCAAAATTTGATGTTGCTAGGTGTGTGAGATGCCGAGTAAATTCTCGTAAAACTACCTGCTTCAGAAAGTATTGAGTGAAATCCAGGAAACAACTGTCCTTTAGTACTGTAAACAATAAGGAAACACCGCAAATAAAAACAAAATGATAGACATGTACACCCTGATGGTTCACATTTTTTATTTCGTTCAAAATGCTTGTGATCAAGTCAGGTGTTTTAGTTACCTTAAATATTTTATTTGGTGATGAAAGTTGATTCAAGACCTACCTAATTATTGGTTAGTAGAATTTCTATCAAGTGTTTTAGTATCCCCACACCCTTTTCTCTAGTGGCAGCCGCAGGAATGCTCTATTTTTGTATGTGAAAAACACGTCTTGACCACTGAATTTAGCGAAGGTTCACAGTTTTCATGGTGAGTGGTACTTTGAAGTTACATTTTATCAGGATAACAAGCCATATGGTGACTGACTGATTTTCAAAATTAGAACTTTGCTCAGAAGTGCACCGGTTCAAATTACTACACTGCATGTAGCACATAAAGGTAAAGAAAAGATCATAGAAAGATTGAATTTACAATGAGCAGAAAAGTAAGGGATAAAAAATAATAACAGCGAAAAACCCATGAGGGTTTGATGGATATGCCATAAAAATGTGTAAAAATACCTGCACCAATGAGAGTGATTTTGAACGATATTGTCAGTAGTCTCCATTCATTGGTGCTTAACATCCTGAGGACCCTAAACAGGTAGTTCGCATCTCCCCATATGGCTCAAATTAACTTTCAGAGGCTTCATAGACTGATTTTAGGTTTTAGTTTGATTAACTGCAACCCTTTTCTGACCTTATCCTATTTTAGCTAACACTGTTCATCGAAGAAGGCTGTTACCCGGCCACTTGGATGGAATTCAGTAGTCCGTGAATTTTTAATTTCTGTCAGCACACGATTTTTGACACTACTGTCAGCTGATATCATTGGTGAGTATCTGTCCTCACACTCAACTTGGTTGACCTCATTAGTCATGACTTGCTACTAGAACTTCAAATAACTTCATCCTGTAGTCGGTCACCATGAGCACTAGAGTAATTTCCAAGTACTGGCTTTAAGCGGTTTGACTGATTGGTTCCATCCCAGTTACTAAATGTTCTACGAGCTCACCTAGTAGCCTGAACGTCCTGGGTTTGATCTACGGTGGAATCGTAGGTATGTACCAATGAAGAGTCCCTAACAGGAACAAAACGACCTTCCAGTATTCCTTCATTTTCAGCAGTTCTCCAATTTGTGTCAACTCATAACTAATCTTGAAATCAATCAAATACCTGCAAACCAGCACTCAAAGAGTGAACGGTGTCACTGAATAGACCATTGAAATCACTTCTGATCTTCCCCCTTTCCTTGAATAACACTAAATCGTGAAACAAGGATGAAGACACTAAAAAATATGAATAGAAATCAGGTCAGACAAAGAAAGCTTTAAAGATGCAGTTGGTCAATCAATAACAATCGATTCATTCATTCATTCATTTTCAAGAAGGTTAAGGAACAGATAACCCACTAAAGTGGTTGATTCATCCTAATTTATAAATGGTAGATTTTGTAACTTACACGAAGCAGTTGAATAACACCTTAAATTGTAAACTGAAATATTATTACGAAATGTAATTTAAGTATGTCTACACTGTGTGGCTGTTTATAATACGTTTCTATGTCTGGGCAGTATCTACGCTCTTGTCAAAAACAAGCTGTGTCATTCTCAACACTTATCTACTCTGCAGCTCTTATAGATTTAATCAGTTTCGATGATATAACTGAGTTGTTCATTTTGCCAATACTTTACAGTATAGGAATCAAGTCTGGTTTAAAGTTGTACTAAGCGTTCATCGATTATTTTGGAAACAATATTGAATGGTTAAATGTTTGATTGTTAAAATCGTTCATATTGTATAATTAATAAGCAACACATTTTATTTTATTTATTTTTGCTGATTTGAAGAAGGCTCAACAGATCTGCCCTTTTTTGATTCCACTACATATCCAATGTTTTGCTCTTGGTAATCTCATCAGGGATTAGATCAATAGTTCTGGTTACTTGACCTAGATGCCTTCAACGTTTTATCATGAATATATGTAATAAATAACTGATCTAAGAGTTTCCTTAACTTAAGGAAAACCATTGGTTGACTAACCACAAAGTGACATGAAAGACCTACCTTACGGTATTTCATCATGAGCTGACATCGGTTAGAGAACCATTTATGGCTGTGACACCTGGCCATCGAGAGTGGAAGATATCAAAAGATTAGCTGTCTTCGATCATAGGTGCCTGCGCTCTATCTCCCGTGTGAAGTGGTAAGGTGAGCAATATTGAGGTTAGACACCGGTCGAGTGTTACGTAGGTGGGAGGGGAAATCAGTCGACGAGGCTGTGAAATTACACCGACTGAGATGGTTAGAACATGTGTTACGTATGCCTAGTCATCGCCTTCTTTGACGGGCAATGTTAACTGATATAAGGTCAGGCTGAAAAAGAGCTAGCGGCTGTCAAACCAAAACATGGCTTTTTCAGTCGATGAAATCCACAAAAGTTATTTTATGCTAGCCACTTACGTAGAAAGGTGTAGACTTCCTGACTGGTTGGGGTCCTCGGGACGCTAAAAACCATTGGTTTGAAACAATTGGTGATATGGCTCAAAATTGTTCTCAATGGCTGGTACAGATGCATCTGCTCCTTGTGACTTATTATTTCCAATGAAAATATATCGTTCTTCTTTATTACTATTCCTTTGTCTCACACCTGTGTTAACTGTCTCTATTATGTATTTGTATTACTTTCTTCTCTTGCTTTGTATGCTACATGGAGTGCGGTGACTTGAACTGCTGCACATCGGTGCAAATTTCTATGTAGAAAACAGACAGAGATACATTTGGGAAACCTGGGAGTACCGATGTCAGCTCCTAGGGAAAATCCTGTGATCAATCAAATCTCTGAAGACCCACTTTATTTATTAATCGAGTAACAGAGTGTAATATTCACCCCATCCTACTTGGGTTACACAAATATTACTTTGGTAATCTCTTCCGACAGTATCAGTCTATATATCTCTTATGACGTCATAATTATACACTCGTTTACCTCGTTTTAACTTTACTTTGTATTATAATGGCGACTTATTTATAAAATATCTATTTAATGTAATATAAATATGGTTTTATAGATGGGTATTTTTAAAATAAATGCACAAAATTGTTACAAGATAATGTACATTTAGATTATGATTACAACCTCTTATTGTTACTGCATATACTAAAGGAGATTACTAAACTTTGACCGGACATTAGGCAGCTAACTGATGTCATCAGTCTGACTCTTCGCTGGGTGCGGGCTGTATTCTACCGGTTAGGTTTTACAGGTTTACAATTAGGAATTAAAATGCCATAATAAACAGGGGAACAAATAAAGCTCAGACAAAGTAGCATCGTAATTACTGACAAGATTGACATATTGTACCATTCGGGGTTAGAAATGTAGAAATAACAAGATTAGACGGGATGTTTGGATAAAAAAATTAACTGGGATCATAACTAATGTGACGAATAATTGTTTATGCAATCAGGGATTAAATATATAGAAATGATAAAATAACAAAATAGACAGGAAGTTCGGATATGAAAATTCGCTAGTGTAAATAGGGAGCTGAGTACATCGACCATACCATGCGCCAACTTTAAAAACGCGCTCGTGAACACTATCCAGCCTGGCTAGTAAGAGGAGAACGAAAATGTGTGTGTAGTTCAGTGACAGAACACCTAGTCAATTCAGAACATTCAGTGTCATTCGAGAAATCCTTTAAAACAATATACAAGATTCAATCAAACCTATCAAAGGGAGTAAAATTAAGACATCTGGGCATAGCCGACGCACTAGCCATCCAAAAGCTCAAACCCACGCTATCTATCCAAAAGAAATATGTTCAACCCTTGTCCCTACCGTGGCCATCATAAACAGGTGCTTTTTTTAATGGTGACTATCCCACTGACTTTTTTCCAAACTTCCTGTTTATTCATGTTTATTTTTAAAGTTTTTCTTAATCCCTTTTTACACTACCATATTTTCATACCCGAACTTCGTGTTTATTTTGTCATTTTACTATTTCTACATATTTATTCCCTGATTGCATAAACAATTATCCGTCACATTAATTATGATCCCAGGTAATTTTTTTATCCAAACATCCCGTCTAATTTTGTTATTTCTACATTTCTAACCCCGAATGGTACAATATGTCAATCTTGTCAGTAATTATGATGCTACTTTGTCTGAGCTTTATTCGTTCGCCTGTTTATTATGGCATTTTAATTCCTAATTGTAATTCTATTAATCTGACCCTTGACCAAAATGTATTCTTGAACTTTCCTATGCATTTACAATAAAAAAACACGAATGCACAGTCTATTTCTGGCAGCAACATCCTGTTGCGCGTCTGTGGCACAGCGGTTAGGACACTCGCCGACCATGTACATGGTCCGGGGTTCGATCCCCTGCCACCGACGCACACCTGATATCTATGGTCGGCCTGCAAAATTTGGGCTACCGATATCGCATGCTGAAAATTCCATACTTGTATCAAAAATACTGTGTGGTTTCAAGCTATAATCAAAAATTGAAAAAAAGAATTTTCAGCATTCAGTACAATATTGCATCTAATTTACTCAAAACGACAAAAAAAATAAACATTGCATAATAATAACAATATCAAAAAGTTGTTATAGCAGTCATGTAGTAAATTACAGTATGCGATAAGGAGAAAAATATGCATAGAGTATAAAACTTTAGTAATAGCAGCAATAACAACTAAAAATAAAATAGCAAAGTTTTAATTAAACGATAGAAAGGGTGACACTATAAAATTACAGAAAGATGAACAATGAAAGTGTCGATTTACTTTGCTAATTACATAGTAACTAATATGTTTCACGTCTAACAGTGCCTTCATCACATAAATACGAGCTAAATAGAGTATTGTAGAATATTTGTACTCAGTGATACGAGCATATAACTTCTTATATTGACTTCTCGTCCTACCTGATGAGATTCAAGGAGATAGTTGTAAAATAAAGGGGTGTGCAGGGAACTGACAGTACGGCCTTTGCCCATTTTGTACAGGAATTTATGTGTCTCTCGACTGTAATATTGGCGAGCTTACGCAGTGGCATTCTACAAGCCCCATTCACAGCATTTATTACCCTTCGTAATATGATAAAGTCTTTTTTGAGAAGCCTAGGAAAGATTAATGGAGAACATCAGAGTACATTAGGTAAAATACAAGAGTTAACAAACTTCAGTGGTGAAGGTTGGTTGATACCTGATTGTCTTAACTTTTTAATGTAGAAGGTAAGATGAAACATTATCTTAGATATTGATAAGATATAAGATGACCGTGAAAGGTCAGAGGAAAGTAAAAGTGAGTTAGTGTATAATGTTTCGAAAGTTTATGATATAACTTACGGTTTTCAACTTCATTAAATTCAGAAAGGTAAATTTGCATAATTGACAGCCTTGAAACAAAGTTTTGATTATGGCTTAAATTATGCAATATCACCTTCTAATCGCAAGAAGTTAAAATGTTTCTTCATTGAGTCATTAAATCTTATGCATGTGAACTTTTATCCTGAAACATCATCAAAATAAACAACTATTAACTGATTATTTCATTTTTCGGATTGTGGAACTCCTTTATGCTCTTCTGTATGTTCTACCTGTTTTTGACATAGAACTTTGCACCGATGTGCACCAGTTCAAGTCGTCACACTCCCCACATGTAGCACAAAAAGCAAGAGAAGAAAATAGAAGAAATGCATAATAGAGACAGTAAACAGAGGTGTGTAAGACAAAGGAATAGGAATAACGAAGAAAAGAACAGTTTCATTGAAAATCATAAGTCACAAGGAGCAGATGCATCTGCACCCACCACTGAAAACGATTTTGAGCAGCATCACCAATTGTTTCCAGCCAGTAGTTTTTACTATCCCGAGGGCCCCAACCAGCAAGCCAGTCTACACCTTCCTACGTGGCTGGCGTAAACTAACTGTTGTGGATTTCATTAACTGGTGCCATGTTTCAGTTAGGCTGGGCATATGTAACACATGTCCTAACCATATCAGTCGATGTAGTTTCACAGCCATGTCGATTGATTTCCTCTCCTTACCTAGCACTTGACGCTTAATCTCAGTATTGCTCACCCTATCACACCACCTTACACGGGAGATAGAAAGCAGGCACAGTAAGTCATCTTATGCGAATCCGTACAAGTCTGCCCCTCAAGAAGTACGCCAAATAACGAGAAATACTCATTTTATCGTTAGGCAACAAACAAGGTGTATTTCTGCTTCTTATTGGCTCTGGCTTGTATGATCAACGTCTGGAAAATACTCTTGATCCGGTGTTTACAAACGACTTTGGCATATTTAAAGCTTGGAAGAAAGCTTCAATAACTAACTCTGATCATTGTATCATAAATTTATTGCCCAGACTATATAGAAAGCTGCACAAAGACGCCTTCTTGAGCCTTGGCAAGGAAACACAGCATAGATAAGGAACCTGTTAAATGATACAAACTGAGAATTATCTACTGAACAATTTCTAGATGACACAATCATCAACGTCACATCTTATTTAAAATTCTCTCTTGATGTTTGTTGTCTAAAAGAGACGCTTCCTAATATTTGACCGCTTCTCCTCTCCTCAGATCCAAAAGCTTAGCCGAGAAAAAGAAATATGATATGAAATGAAAGATACTCTTAGTCTTAAGAGACTGAACATTTTAGCTAAATCCAAAATACAGAGATTAAATATGATCTATAACCAAACGTTCTTATCATGAAAAACTCCATCAAGTCTGGGAGAAGCTGTTTAAGGAAATCACGGGCGGTAAGCAAATAAATAATTACCCTTCTACAGTTGATACTGATGAGCTTAATAAGTCTCCCATACATCATCCAACTAATGTGATGATCTCGAATGCTACAAGTGTAAATAATGACTGCTTCCACGGTTTTAACACAAGCAATTTCTTGAAGCTTCTCGAATCCCTGAAACCTAGCTAGTCCCTTAGTCTAGATGGTGCGCTAGGTATTGTTATCAATGAATGTGCTGACATTTGATGTCATCCTCTCACTGGTATTTTCAATGAATCGTTTCCACCAAAATTGAGCCTCTTTCTTAAAATACCATTTAAATTGTTTATGTGCCTGAAGTGAACGAGTTGTTAAGTTCACTTATATTGCCATTATTATTATTATTGTTCCATTGGGTTCCTAGTAGAACATAGGGCTTCAACTCCATGTCTCCACTTGCTTCTGTCTTCTGTTCCACTTTTCACCTGCATCCATGTTACTCCATACTGTTTCAACCAACTCCTCTTCACACAATCTCCCCATGTCACCCTCGCATTGACGTCCCACTCGCCGCATGCTTCCCTTTCGGCCTGGTTCCATTCGAGGAATGGCCTGACGCGCGCGCGATGTCACTCAGCGGCCCAACCTTCTCAGCCACCGGTTGTACAATCCATCCATCTCCACTTTCTCCTGCATATTTGTTGGGCTATTGGTTCTTGTTTCGTTTGTTTCTTCCCATGCTTTCTTGCTGGTGATTCTTTACGACCCGGTCATCTGATGTTTAGTATATATCCAGCGAAGACAGTTGCTGGTTAATAATGGTCTGCATCGCAACAGGCTGTTGGTTGGAAATATTCTTTTTGACCCACCCGCCAAGTTTCTCATCCGTATAGAAGAACTGACTGACTTGACCACTTTGTATTGGAAATCCGACTGAATTTTGTTGTTGATGCTGGCTGAGTGACGAAGATTTCCTTCCAGATTGGTTTCAGGTTGATGAATGTGTTTCTCGCTCGCCTTCCCGAATCTCGCTCGATTTGACATCCTCTTCTGTTTTGACTTCCTGTAGTTGAGACAATGCTCAATGCTAGATAAGTGACTGAATGAAGTAACTAATCTCTTTCAAATCCCTCTGGTTGATGGTGATTGGCGCTGGATGTTGCTGTTGTTGTTGTTGTTGTTGAGTTGGTTGGTTATTTTCATAACCTCCATCTTGTCTATGTTCACCTGCTGTCCTGTCTTCACCGGCTGTTTCTTCGACCAGCTTGTCGGTCAGTTTTCGCTTGTAAGTCTTCGATTTTGTGACAGTGACATCAAACATAAATCATCCACGCTCGAAATCCAGGTCTTCTAGGTTCTTCACGTCAGTCGGTCCAGGATATCCCTGTCTTCTCGTTTCCAACTCACTGTCTGACGTATAATCCATTCAGTCCACCACAATTAGGAATATCATTCATTGGTGATAAGAAGCACCCCTGTCTGACTCCTGTGTTTTACACACATATTAATTTGTATGAATGCGTTAGCTGGGAAATAAATCTAGACCACGTGCGTGGTTGACGAACATTCTCTTTCACCGGAATATCGATTTGTATCAAAACTTTACTCAAAGATAATTATATATGCTACAGAATTTTATGTCATAATTTTAAGTTTTTAAATACAAATCAAAATAATAATTATTATTATAATCTTCTTTCTCTGTTTAGATCAATTTGTCTATTACTGTGTCTATCGGTAACCTGTCTCATAACTTACAGAGTCCACATCTGGTTGAAACATTATGACAGTTTAGCCTCGAAAATGATTATTTCTGCCTATGATGATCATCAGAATAATTTACCATTTCCTCTGATCACAATTTGTAATATTAATCCAGCTAGGTGGGTGAATTGTGCTTTTTTGTTCTGTTTTTTTGATTTTTTACGGGAAATTTACGGCAAAATGCTTTTTGGATACTTTTTGTTTTCGTCGTTGTTGCTGTTGTTGTTGTAAGACTTATTTATGTGAATTAAGAAGTTGAAATTAGAAGAAGAGAGGAAAAAGAAGACACAGGCTGTCCACTTGTTCATTCATGTTACGCAGACAAATTAAACAAACATTTGACAGTTTTGATGCTTCTTCAAGCACTTGCATATTAACCAATCGATATCTGCTTTCCATATTCACAGGAATTTATTTGTTACTTGTGAGTTAACCTGATGTAACATAATTGTGACATAGAAAAGACTTAGAAATGTCTAGGGAGCAAATTTATGTATATATATACATCTTCAAACTTTGAAGTTTGACTAGCAGCCGCGCTGTTTTTCTCTAAAGGACGGGGGTTGGTTAGCGTCTAGAAAATATGTGTTTCCAAATATTTGTGAAATAATAGCAAAAATCATTCTCAAACGGGTAAATACTAATTCTAAGACTGTGTAACTAAAGGTATTTCATTTAATAAACACGCAGTAACCAATATTCCTGATTGTTGAGGAGTGAGTCGAACGGCAGACCATGGGAAAATGGGAGACAATGGGCATTTGTTGGACTGTAAGAGAAGATTCTAGGAGATCTGAACTCTGTGGATGATTTTTGTGTTTCACGTCACAAGACAATAGAAGATCTTTAGATGGAAACATATAAGTCGGAAGTGGCGTGAAATGAAGACAAGACTAAACATTGAACATAGGGAAGACAGAGTTGATGAAGATTATTATTATTATTTCTTTCGATTCCTAAAGGAACAGAAGGCTTCAGCTGCACGTCTCCATTGCGTTCTGTTATCTACCAACGTTTTCAGCTGGCTCCAAGTCCGCCCACATTCTTTCATCTCCTCTTCACATGACCTCCTCCAAGTCACCCTTGCACTGACGGACAACTCGCCGCTTCCCTTTCGGATTCCACTCGACCGAAGGCTTGTCTAGTGATGTCACTTGATGGTTTCCTCAGAGTATGGCCAATTTCTTCCTGCTTATTTGTTGCACAATGGGTTCCTGCTGGGTTGGTTCACTGCCAGAGAGCCTTGTCGCTGATCTTTTCTGGCCATCTGATCTTGAGCGGCATTGAGCGAAGACAACTGTTGATGAAGGTCTGTAGTTTGTTTGAGATGCTCTTTATGACGCGCCAAGTCTCTGATCCGTATAGTGAGTAGCACTGACTTCACATTGGAGTTGAAAATTCGGATCTTATTTTCACTGTCATGCTGAATGCAGCTGATCTCCACAGATACTTGAGAGTAATGAAAGCTTGCCTTGCTTTCCCGATCCTTGCTTTGAAACCTTCACCAGCTCCCTCCTCCTGTAGTTGAAGCGATGCTTCCCAGGTAGCAGGTAGGTAGAAGAGGTTGTTTCATTCAGGTTCCTCCCATTTATGCTAATTGTTGTCTGTTGTTATTGTTGTTGGTTTTGCCCAGGAATCTTCACCACTACATCTGTTTCCTTTATGTTCACCTGAAGTCCTATCTTTGATGCTTCTTCTATCGCCAACTTGTTGGTTTTCATTTGCATGTCTTCCAGTTTGTGAGAAATCAAACATATATCATCGGCAAAGTTCAGATCCTTCAAGTTTTTCGTGACGGTCGATTTTTTGTCTGTTTCCTCGCTGCCCATTGACTGTCGCAGTATCTAATCTACCGCAATTAAGAAAATCATTGGCGATAGTAGACAGGTAACCAAAAACAACAAGAACCAATCACCATTAAAGGGACAGACTTACAAGAAATTTCTTCTTCTTCCACTTATATAGGCAACAACTTTCCATCTATAGGCAGCAGGGATGAGGAAGTCGAGGGAATGATAGAAAATTACAAGAAAGACCTACATTAATCTGAAATGAATGTGGAAATTCGCTGCACTCACCACAAGGAACAAGATGCGGATTTTCTTCTAGGCGTCGTCAGAAACAAACCATATGCATCAGAGGTTCATCAACCACTGCCTTCTCTTCACACTGAATAACAGATGGTCGGTCGGAAACGATTAACAACAAGGAGCCTTGACAACAAACCAACTACGAGCCTATTTCTCATCAGATATGTGGAAGAAAATGAAGATGAATTGGACAGTTTCTGAGAGAACATTGCACACTTACCCCAAGATTAGAAACCGAATGAGAAACGACAAGTTAGGCGTCACTTCAGTGGAGGTCGTGTAAGGAGGAATTGGGAGCTTATGGGCAGTCGTGAAGCCAGTTAAATTGAACTGGAGAGAGCAGAGTACATTAAGGACGTGTTACTGAAGCTCTATGCTCTACTCAAAGCCTAAGGGAATGACAAAAATATGTAAACCGAGAGTAACAAAGGCCTAAATGGAATAACAGTGTTTTTTTTGTCAAGCAGTGCTGAATTCGTGTTTCTTGACATTATTACGAAGAAGGCGAACCGTATTAGGTGAAAAATGTTGTTATAATAGGCGTTATGTTTATTTGGACGGTGAGAACATTTTATACGTGTGTAAATACATATTAGAACAAGACATATAAGCGAACAATATTGTTTTCAATTAGATCTTCTTGAGGCTTTATTCTAATTTATATAGATTTATATATAAAAACTTTAACCAATCACGGTGATTTTGTGGATCAAATAATAATAATAATGTGGTAAATGTTTTGAAAGAAATTAATAACAATGATTATAATGATAACAAAATAATGCTAATAAGGTTTATGCAGGTGGCGATAAGAATAACAAAGGTAGTAATACGCGTGTATATGTAGACAATTCAATAAATAAATTAGGTCAAATCTTAAAAGTTACGCAATACTAAAGGTAAGTGAAGTGGACAGATAATCAGAGTTCAAATAAATATCAAAAATACGAAAGAGATGGAAAATAAGAAAGGTTGGGAGGGTTTCGATCAGAATTCAACTAGGCCAAGCAAGGGAGAGACAAAGGTAGAACAAACTTCTTTTATTGTAGGCAAAGACTAGAACTGTTCTCTCGAATTCCCATGGCTTCGATCCCCTACCGACGCACACCTGATATCTATGGTCGGCCTGCGAAATTCGGGCTACCGATATCCACGCTGAAAATTCCATACTTGTACCAAAAATACGCTGTGGAATCAAGCTGTAATCAAAAATAAAAAAAAATAAAAAAAAGATATGTGTAAAAGGCAGCATCGAATTCCTTTCGAAAGGCTCGATGGAATGCGATAGACAACTTTGAAGGCACTATTTTTGTCCACTTGGTGACCGCTATCATCAATCAAATGAGCCAAAATAGAACTTCTTATAGATTTTATTTTGAGCTTTTCCGAACCTTGAAGGAAGATGGTCATTAATGCGCTTGTTAAGCTGTCTAGTTGTTCGCCCTATATAGATTGCTCCACAGGAGCAACTAAATTTCTAGATACACATAGAAGAGGCACAGCTAGGTAGCTTGTCTTTCACTTGAGCAATCATAATTGGTCGGCAGCTGGAAAATGACAAACAAAGGGTGGCGGCAGTATAAGTAGGTTTTATTGCTCTCGATAATCTCAGATGTTAGACTTAGCTAGCCATGTCCGCATTAAATTACAATTTCATGAATAGTTGTTTCGTTTCAACATACGTACATATTCATGAAAGGCACAATATTTATCAAAGTGACTCTTTTCCGCACATTTTATATCAAGCTGTACAAGCTGTATATATATATATATCAAGAAACTGTATCCCGTGAAAAAGATTAAACAAACGGTGTGATTATAAACCTAGCAAAATATCAAGCAACAGAACAGATTATGTCATGCATTAAACAGTTCACAGAATGTAAAGATCCTGAGAAAAAAGATTTCAAGATAATCGGGTGTTAGAGGCAATTAAAACATTACGTAACACAAGATAAAAGTTTGGTAAATAAAATTATTAATGTGACAAGTGAAAAATTACTGAAAAACGTCCAAAATGGAAAAAAATAATAATAATAATAATCACAATCATAATAAAAGAAAAGTACATAAACAAAACGAAAAATAAATAAATGTTTATCTCTCTACGTCTAAGGTAGCAGCAGGGACTGTGTATTTTTAATTTGTCTACGCAAAGGTCTGATTTGAATTCACAAATGGGCAAGTCGTCCGGTGTCTTTAGAAGTGAAGGACAGAAAACAATCACGTCAAGTTGGCATGAATTCGATTCTTGATGCTTTTAAAATCATGGTCAGGATTGGTCGATTGACAGAAGTCAACCAAGTGTTCTGAAATAAGGATTCTCGTACCCTTTCTCTTTTGTAAAACTATGTTGTTTTGACGCTTTATTATCCGTGGGAAAAGCATTCTCTGGCTACGGCTCCACAACAGCAGGTAATGTATTCATAGATTAAATTCATGTGTCCATTATTACCTTCTGAAGAATAATGTTTTTTGTGGAATTCTGCTGATACTTCCCTTTCTTATTTTAGAGGAACTAAACTGTATAATCTGCATTCAAGTGAATCACGCGATAGAGGTATTGATTATGAAATTTTTGCGGATGCACTTCAAGGACGTCTGGGTGAAAATATACCTGAAAGCAAGCTTCAAATGCCTATTATTAAACTCATAGACAAGGCATCCCACCAGATAGATCAAATGTTGAGAGGGTGAGCAATATTCTTATTTTAATAGTTATCAAAAATTAATAGATTTTAGCATCGAGGTCATTTTCCGAGAGATCGGTACAGAGTCGAATTTTAAGCAAATGTTATTGGTTATTAGTTGTTAGTTCATCTTTCCTTTGTGACAGTAACTGACAGTCACCCTATAGAGCCCATCACAGTTGCGTGTTTTTTTAATTCCTATTCCTATTCTGAATGAAAAATAAGCCCTCAAGCTTTAGGCTTTAACGTTTCAGTAGCGGTAGTGTTATTTTAACGAGATGATGTTTTGGACTCATACTTGCCAGGGAACTGGGCAAATTTAAAGAGTAGGCCAAGCGGGAATTGAACCATGGACCATGTATTAGGAGTTGATGGGCAACCTACCACAGAACAAATGAAGCTACTTGTTTGTGTTGAAGTTGATTTATTTTTCCAATCATTTAACCATTCATTCACTGCAAATTGTCTTATCAACTTCTGCAAATCTAAATTAACGGCTTTTTACTGCGAGTTCATGTAGTTTAGATATATATAAGATATATATAAGTGTTAGTTTGTAGGGATTTGATTGGTTACAGGATTTCATCATGAACTGACACTGGTTAGAGAACCATTGGAAAAGCTGGGAGTACTGAAAAGCTGTTTCGTCCTAGTTTGGGACTCGTCATCAGTACGCTTACCGAGGCTGGAACCCAGGACCTTCTGGTTACAAAGCGAGCTCGTATACGATTTAGCCCCCGGGACCCGACCCAATGGCTAGCCCATGAATTCTAACTTCTGCTAATTCACGACAGTAGCGTGACAGCTAGTCAATGTCTTCGGCGAGTATTTGTCCTCACACCCGACCTGCTGCACCTTACTGGTCACGACTTCCCACTATGACCCCAGGTAACTACCTAACTGAATAGGGCAAGTCGCTAGTGTTCATCTCATTGATATTCAAGTGTTGGTTTGTGGGGATTTGATTGGTACTCCCAGGTTTTCCAATGGTTCTCTAACTAATGTCAGCTCAGGATGAAATCCAATATATATCTGGCTTTCGTCACTTGTCAAATAAGTGTCTTAATATAAAAGTGGAATTCGGCACTATGGTAGAATATAATTCCGTGTTAGATGAGTTTATTCTGTATAATATACAGTGAAACAGTGGTTATAACTGGATGACGTTCCAAGTGCAATTTATTCCTCATTATCATATCAAAAGTACTAAATAGCAAACTCCACTAGTCGCCAATCTTTTTATGCACACATTAGAAACAAATGCAATTGTGAGATGCCCCGAAGATGTGGTTAAAATACATAGATGATACCTTCGTCATAATCAAACGTAGTTTGTTAAATGAACTTTTTCACTTAATAAACAATATGTCAGAAACTATCAAGTTTTCCAAACAGGTTGAAACCGATGAGAATGAGTTGGCATTCCTGGACTGTTTAGTAAAAAGAAAACTGGATGGCAAATTTAAAATAAGCATTTTCAGAAAGCCGACAAATTCGGCTAGACACCTAGACTACTATTCAGCTCACCCATTTACCAACAAAGTAACTGTGACCAAGAATCTGATCAACAGAGCCAAACGTCTAGTTACTCAGGAGGAAGAGATTAGCAAGGAACTAAAATTGGCTCAATCCACTCTTGAATCAAATAATTATCCTAGAGCTTTAATAAAAAGGTATTTAAAATGTGAAGATATGGATGAATCGAAACTTGCTGCTAAGAATTGGGTTAGTACAGCGGTGATTCCTTATCGCAAATAAACATCCGATGAAATAAAGTGAATGCCTAACGATCATAACATAACAGTGTATTTTCGTGCAACTTACACCTTACTCTCATGACTGGTGAAGGTTAGGGATAAAATAGAACATGAAAACCAGCAGAATTGCGTATACCAGATCAATTGTGGGGTTGTAACGCCGTATATGTAGGAGAAACTTCCAGACAGGTAAACATAATAGTGAAAGAGCATAAACAATGTCTACAGGTGGTTTCAAAGACCTCTGCAGACTTGAAGAAGCTTGAGAGCTACTCAGCGATTGCACTGCATTCGACAGAAACGGGACACAAGATCAACTTTGATAATACTAAGGTTTTACAGAAAGGTTTTGGTTCATATGACTGCAGACGCCCTACATATATGGATGAATCCCAACAGTTTAAACAGACGTGAAGGTGTAATGTTAGCTGATGCATGGCAAATCTTGACTGATAAATAAAATTGGATATGTATCAACACTTGGCCATACTTGGTCAAATTCCCGACTGTTTAACAAATGTTCCATGGATGTTCACCCCTACACACATACATGCACGCACCATTGTACACTGCATATACACATAAATTTTAACAAAAGTAGACCAATTTTGAAAGTCTGAGGTCAAATTTTGATCACAGTTCATACAATTTTTGTTTATTATACCTGCTGATACCTGTTTCATGACTGATGATTGGACAAAAGTTTCAAAAACAAGGGATGTTTCTTTTATATATAAACCTCTGTTATGTTGATTTCGATTAATTTCCCTGAAGAAGTTCGGACCAGATTGCCGAACACAGGAAACGTTGGAATTAATCATTTCAATTTCGCTGAGATTTTACAAATATAATTTTATAAAAACAATATAATCAGATGAAGAGATAATTTGAACACAGTGTTTCTATTCGTTGAATCAGTATCAAAAGCATGCAGTTGAAATGGAGTACACGTATCCTGGAGGCACAAGAAGAAGAAGAAGAAGAAGAAGTAAGACTGTATTCAGCAAGCTGGGAAGTCAAATAAACACACACTGATGATATGGTTATGAGTAGTAAATTGTGTTCGAAACGTTTTTTTTGTTGTTGTTATGGCTATACCACTCTATCTTATATCAAATAAAGTTACATAATATGGGAACAAATATAATACCCATAGAAATCGTCTTTTTCAAGTGGTATTGGTTTAGGACGTTAAGAACTGAGACCAGTTTAAGGATTACTGCCAAAAAAAACGTTGACAGTGAGGACAATTTTCTTCTCAATGAACCACTTTTAAGTCGTATTTATATTCAAGAAAGAATTCATAAAATTAGTTGAATTCCGGTAATTCTGATCTAGAAAATGTATCGCATAATGTGAGATATAGAAGGTTAATTGTAGAAGATGATGAAATTAAAAAAAATGGAAGTTGGAATCATATATGAGCACATCCCATGATAAATACCACTCTGGAAAGTAAAAGAAACTTGCGTCCATCATATCTGCAAATGAAAGTTGATAGAAGGTCAGATAAATCGATCTGAAGGTCAAGTTCGATAGAAACCGGAATTAACTGAACAGTTTATTAGACCTCAGTTATCTCATGCGACATTAGAGAACTCATTGTATCACTGTAGAGCAGTCGAAGAATAGGTGCTGAATGTTATAAGTCAACGATATGCATTTGGAACTGACGTTGTTTGCGGTCCATACACTTTGCTCCACACTAACAAATGAATTGATAAGTACACATATAGGTAGTCAAAAGCGGTATCTTATAGTTGAAACATGACTGGATTAACTGTCTGCTGGAGGATGTGATCCGTAAGATGGCGGCTTAAAACGTCTTCATCAGATATTTACCAGGGTGGCTTCAGACAGTTTTCGCACTAGTGACACCTTTGAACTCTGAATTCATGAAGAAAGCTTCCTTGGGAATAGTTGCAAGTGTCGACAATGGAAGTCTTATTTTTCTTAGGGTTTTGTCGCTAAATCTAGGTGGAAATCTGTTTTCTAGTGGGGTGTCATGTAGAGGTTTTAATTCAGTCCCTAGGGTATCTTCTAGACAGATGTTTTGAATCGTTGAGTGTAAGGTATATAATAAGTTTTGCTTTCGGATCAGTGAGACAAAGATAATAAACTGTCCAGTCAATGTTGATTTTCGGTATATTGATCTATGAATCAAGTTGTCTTATCTTCTAGTAAGTAGTATATGCGGCAATGCGAACGGCGAGTTTGATTCAAGTTCTAAAATGGGAATTTTATTGAAGGATTTATTGTGTTGAATATTGTTAAGGAGATTCTGTAGATAAAAGTTTTCATTACAAATTATAAAAATATCGTCTACGTATCTCCTGACAGATGAAAAATCGACGATGTCATTTTTATTAATCAACACAGATTCCTTGTTGAACTGTCAGCCGGAGGATGTGATTCGCAAAGTGGCAGCTTGAAATGTCTTCGTCAGATATTTGCCTAGAAAATTTTTGACAAGGGGATCCAGACCTTGTTGAATATATAAATATGGCTGTACAACTCTTGAATATGATTCTTCTAAAAGAAAATCTTCTTCCTTTCTGTTTTCATCATCTTCTTTGTGTGAATCACTATGGGAACGATTTTGTCAAACGGTTGGAAAATACAGAGCAATGGATAGCAGTTTTGTCCTAGTTTTGTTCCTTTTTGAGCATTCAGGACTGCGCACCAATGATCCTACCTGGAATTGATTGAGCTCCCGAATTCGAAATATCTTGGATTGCCCGTTGAACGTCTATATACATCAAACTGGGATCTAATGACACACTGTTAACTTGTTTCCAAAGTTTCATGACTATTATTATTATTGTTCCCTTGGGTTCATAGTGGAACATAGGGCTTCAACTGCACGTCTCCACTTGCTTCTGTCTTCCTTCTGCTGTACTTTTCACCTGCATCCATGTTAGTCCATACACTTTCGATTCCTCTTCACACAATCTCCTCCATGTCACACTCGGACTGACGTCCCACTCGCCGCTTGCTTCTCTCTCGGCTTGGTTCCACTCGAGGGCTTGACGCCCGATGTCACCCAGCGGCCTCCTCAGCCAGGAGTGTCCAATCCATCCATCTCCACTTTCTCCTGCATATTTCTTAGTTGGCGGTTGGTTTGTTCTTGTTTTGTTTGTTTGTTTCCAGTCAGAGTTTCTTGTTGGTGATTCTTTCCACCCCGGCCATCTGATCTTCAGTATAGATCCAGCGAAGACAGTTGCTGGTTGATAAAGGTCTGCATCGCAACAGGCTGTTGGTTGGAAATATTGTTTGTGACCCGCCCGCCCGCCAAGTTTCTGATCCGTATAGGAGAGCTGACTGACTTGATCACATTTGTATTGAAAATCCGACTGAATTTTGTTGTTGATGCTGGTTGAATGACAAAGATTTCCAGATTGGCTTCAGGTTGATGAATGTGTTTCTCGCTCGCCTTCCCGATTCTCGCTCGACTTGACATCCTCATCCGTTCCGACTTCCTGTAGTTGAGACAATGCTCAATGCTAGATAAGTGAGTGAATGAAGTAACCAAGCTCTTTCAAATCCCTCCCGTTGATGGTGACTGACTCTGGATGTTGCTGTTATTGGTTGGAGTCAGCATATCTGCTGTCGTCTATGGGTCTAATATCTACATTGAAATTTATCAGAATCCTGATGGAATCAAAAATAAGCACCCTAAGCCACTATTGTTCCTTGTTACCCTGTTTAAAAGTACTTATTGAGACATCAAGCCTCGAAAAAAGAACATCGGCAACTCCTAATTAGTATTCAACTTGTGCGTTCCTGCCTTTGTTCTAGTTGTATATTTATAGATGTTTTTAAAAAAGTAAGGCTAAACCGGATTGTTTACGGAACTGCTTTTCCTTAGGTACCGTACCTATCAAGTTCAGCCGCACCGGAAGTTCAAACTCACTTAATCTTTTTTTTAATTACTAACTTACTGTTTCTCTACTGTTCCATTAAAAATATCACTAGTTAACTGCTTCGTTTCTTTTCAGTATTTAGCCCATACATAGTATTTTAAATTTATCGGTACTAACTTCCTTATTAAGGTGAATATCATGTGTTGTTAAAAATAACATTTTCTTATTGCTGCAATAAAAGAATAGGCAAAGATGGAAGGATTTTAGACAGTATATGCTATAAGGTTTTATCTATATCGATTTCTGTTAACTGATCAAAGAAGCAGCAAAGACAGGACTCCAAGTGAACATAGACAAGACGGAGGTGATGAAAATAACCAGCCAGCAACAACAGCAGCAACATCCAGAGTCAGTCACCATCAACGGGAGGGATTTGAAAGAGCTTGGTTACTTCATTCACTCACTTATCTAGCATTGAGCATTGTCTCAACTACAGGAAGTCGGAACGGATGAGGATGTCAAGTCGAGCGAGAATCGGGAAGGCGAGCGGGAAACACATTCACCAACCTGAAGCCAATCTGGAAATCTTTGTCATTCAACCAGCATCAACAACAAAATTCAGTCGGATTTTCAATACAAATGTGATCAAGTCAGTCAGCTCTCCTATACGGATCAGAAACTTGGCGGGCGGGCGGGTCACAAACAATATTTCCAACCAACAGCCTGTTGCGATGCAGACCTTTATCAACCAGCAACTGTCTTCGCTGGATCTATACTGAAGATCAGATGGCCGGGGTGGAAAGAATCACCAACAAGAAACTCTGACTGGGAACAAACAAACAAAACAAGAACAAACCAACCGCCAACTAAGAAATATGCAGGAGAAAGTGGAGATGGATGGATTGGACACTCCTGGCTGGGGTGGCCGCCACCGGGTGACATCGGGCGTCAAGCCTTTGAGTGGAACCAAGCCGGAAGGGAAGCAAGCGGCGAGTGGGACGTCAGTCCGAGTGTGACATGGAGGAGATTGTGTGAAGAGGAATCGAAAGTGTATGGATTAACATGGATGCAGGTGAAAAGTACAGCAGAAGGAAGACAGAAGCAAGTGGAGACGTGCAGTTGAAGCTCTATGTTCCACTAGGAACCCAAGTGAACAGAATGATAATAATATGCCTATTAGGCTTAAGATCTCATATTTGACACTGTCTCATATGTGTGTTCTTCAGAATATACAATTTGCAAGGAAGACTAGACAGGCGTTTCTCAATTCTATGGTACTCCTCAACAGTATCCATGCATAATCCACCTACGCATCCACCAGAGTTGTTAAATAGTTATCGCAAATTAACAGAAGTCGGAATTCATGAGCTATTGGACTCTATCTTGATGGCTGAATAGACAACGAGAACACCTTTTAACCTGCAGGCGATGGGTTTGGTGCCTGGTGGGTCATGCTGAATAATGCGAAACAAAGAGGAAACAGCCGTCCAGAAACCCCTTGGTGCTTAGTGGTTGTGTGACTTAAGTCAGTACATGGTCACTTATGAAATCAATCACATCCCCTTGAACCACTAGCTGAAAGTCAAGTCTGTGTGAATTCATGTTTATTACTGGATTTCATCATGAGCTGACATCAGTTAGAGAACCATTGGAAAACCCTCAGAGAGTACTGGACAGCTGTTTCGTCCTAGTTTAGAACTCTTCACAGTACGCAATCACTGGGGTTCAGACCCAAGACCTTCTGGTTACAAGGCGAGCTCGTATACCATTAAGCCACTGATACCCGATCCAATGGCCAGTCCATGAATTCTAACTTCTGCCAATTCACGACATAGCGCGGTGGGGATTTGATTGGTTACAAGATTTCATCATGAATATCATGTTTATTGGTAGGTTCAAATCACTAGTTTTATTACATCGTTGAAATGTGTATCAATAGGCAGATTTTCATTTTAATTGTCTCACTATGATATATTTTTCTGCTTTTTGCATTAAATTTAGTTGTAAAATTGGTCAGAAACACTGTTCTGTTGCAAATTTCACAAAGAGTGTATTACCAAACGGTGCATGTTATACTCTGTCAGGTGATTTAGTCGGTAAGTATACGCATACTGTTAATTTTTCTCTCCTTATTTCCGCTTGTGATGCTTATGTATTACTAATTTTGCTTAGTGATAGAATGCTCGCCAACTGTGTTTAGATGGCTGGCCATCACACTCCTTAGCATGCCTCACACAACTGGTAGTAAGCCAAGAGAAGAGGGTAGTCTGTAAAGAAAACAACAACAGCAACAACAACAACACTGCTTCTGAAACTTGAAAGATCATCCTCGAAGCCATATGCTCCGTACTTCGTCAGCCGTTGTCTTATCTATCCCACTTAGTGCTATTTCTATTTTAGGGATGACATCCTCAGGTTTCAGCTTGTCTACTGATACATTGAAATTTAGTCCCTTTTCTAATACACTTATTTCTGTAGGACTTAATATATGTGTTGAGAGACAGATAACCCACTTTATTTTATCGGTCGCTGTTGACTTTGCACTGTCGACTTCATCGTTCTGAGATGAAGATTTCTCCTCTAATAATTTGTTGAACTTTTTGATTCGACTATTTTTTTTTGACTTTTTGTAAGTTACTGAGTTTGCATTGCTGGAGGACTGTGTTATAAGATCATAATCTACATTTGTAACTATTCCCTTTAGCTTTTGTTTTAATTACTCAATTTCACATTTGATATATTGCAACTTATTAACGATTCTGTGGATCTCTTCTTTCAGGCAAAAGTTTTTTTAGGCTTTTTATTCTTCTTGTAACTCTGTCCATTGGAACTGGAGCTCTTAGACGTAGATATTTAGGAATGATTTCATTTTTTAAGCATCGAATGTTGAAAATACGATGATTTTCATATCTCGCTTCAATTTGTGTCAGTCAGGTGAGTTTATTGATAAGTCTTCGTACAGGAAGATCATAAGTCATGTTAATATTTGTGTAAAACTTTGGCACTGTGGTAGTAATTCGATATTAGTTTGTTTATTAAGTGTATCTGCACGCAGTTACACACAACCACACAATAGGATTGGATAGGATGAAGGTTTTAAAATCAAATGTAACAGGGTGGAAGGAGAGATTGACAACAGAAGCTTTGTTTATCGAATCAACTGCAAATACGCGTAATAGGAATGATTCAACACCTGTCCACCCAGATATCTGGAAAATTCTATTACCCATACCAAAAATAGGAGAAGACAAAGAGAACTATAAAACTCAAGTTTCAAAGTCGTGTGATTACAATTGATATGATTATGAACCGTGACAAATTTTGTTCGAATTCTTGTCATCCAATAAACACTAATACTGTTTCACTCACTGTGTGATGTATCTAATAGACAAACTAATATGGCATTACTCACTACCACAATGCCCAAGTTTTACACATACAGTCATATGCTCTGCTTAGAAAAGGACTGAAAAGGAGAAATATCCAGCCAATGGTCCACCATGAAGTCTACCTAAAAATTATTTAAATCCCTACAAACCAACAAGTGAAAATCAAAATCACAGGCTACTGGATACAAACACGTCCTGGAGGCCTGGCTGATGAAAAATCTTCAGTTTCATTTTGTTCACATAGTAGGCTGTGAGGATGAATACTCACATACAGCAGTGAATGACAATGGTACTATGCTGTGAACTGGTTGATCCGTGGATGAGTGGTTATGTGATCGGTGCCTGACGAGTTCTGCTGTAAGATCCTAAATTTAAGATGAAACGTCTATTCACATTACCTCCTAGTCTTCAATGATTCTTTGATGGGTTACGCTCTGTATGAAGTCTACAATGGAAATAAGCCTTCAGGCTTTCTCATTAATTTCTAATTTATATCTACAGACGACATTTAATACAAAGAAATTTGGACTAATGGCCATCTAGCTGTTATTTCAGAGATAGTTTTTACATATGTTAGAATGATTTTTCTTTGTAGTCTTTGATGATAGTTTCTTGTTGGCGTTGTGACTTGATTTCAAACACTTTTTGATGAGAAACTGTGAGGATGCGCATTCTTTTTGAAGACGGTTAGTAGGTAATTTTCCTCAATATTCTCTTCAACACAGGAGTAATGCGACAGTGTGTTTGAACTCTTTTAAACAATGTCTGCATACAATTTCTTTTTTTTTTGGGGGGGGGGTAATTGTTACTATAGTTGCTACTATATTCGGTCTGCGTGTGCTGATTTTCTGTATACTTGTGTTTCTAAATTTCCCCTGTGTTAGTTCTCCTGATTAAGACCCCTGATGGTGGTGTCATGTGACTCCTGCATACCGTCATATCAGTAGAGGGAATCTCATCAAAACCACAAGTATTTCTTGGTCTATAAGTAATCCTGTAATTCAAGTATTGGTTTGTAGGGATTTGGTTGATCAGTTACAGGATATCATCATGAGCTTACATTGGTTAGAGAAACATTGAAAAACCACCAGAGAGTACTGGATAGCTGTTCCATCCTAGTTGGGGACTCCTCATCAGTACGCACCCACCGGGGTTCGAACCCAGGACCTTCTGGTTACAAGGCGAGCTCGTAGACTATTAAGCCACTGAGACCCAATCCAACGGCTAACCCATGAATTCTAACGTCTGGCAATTCATGATATAGCGCAACCACTAGCCAATGTTTTAGGCGAGTATTTGCTCTCACACACCCGACCTGTTGCATCCTACTGGTCACAACTTCCCATCATAACCTTAAGTAACTACCTACCTGAGTAGAGCTAGTCGCCAGTGAGCAATCCTGTAATTCTAGGCGAAACTTCGTCGAATAAACGTAACAGTAAACTGTCTCAAGTTGACGATCAGTTAAACTGAGGACAGAACTTTCAAAAGGATAAAGTTGAATAAAGTTTAAAAAAAGATTCTCAACTAAACCAAAAATATTTCTATAAATGTTGGCAGAAAATAAATGATGCTAGCGACAGCGTTTTTAAATCTTATTTTAATCACAGTTATTTATTGTACTTCAACTAGAGATAAATCTTTGGCTGTTTTTCTTTCAAGTATTCAGATAGATCGCTTAGAGTATGAATAAATAGGAATTATTATCAGCAAGACTTAATCAATGTGATTTGCATCGTTTGACATTAAAATCAAAAGAGTTCAGTAGGATAGAAGTGAAAAACGTTTGATTACTTGGAAGATTTCATCATGAGTTGAAATCAGTTACACAGAACCATTGGAAAACCTTCAGGGAGTACTGAACAGCTGTTTTCCCCGTCCTAGTTTGTGACCCTTCATCAGCATACGCCGACCACAGAGGGCCGAACCCAAAACCTTCTGGTTACAAGGCCAGCGAGCTCGTAGACCATTAAGTCACTAAGACGATCCGATCCAATGGCCAGCGCATGAATTCTAACTTCTGCCGATTCGTGACATATCGTGACCAGTTCGCAAAGTCCTTTCAATGAGTTACTGCCTCAACTTAAACCTACTGTTCACGGCTCCCACTAGAACCTCAGGTTACTTGCCTGAATAGGGCCAGTCTCTAGTGAGCATCAGATGAATTTTCAAGTATTGGTTTTGTAGGGATCGTGTTTTCCGGTCATTTAGCTATGAGATCATCAGGCTTACACTGCCAAAAAGCATGCAGTATTAAGTTTCTCTTCATTGAACAAGTAGAACAAAAATGTACTCTGCATGTGATTTAACAATAACAATTTCGCTTTATTCCAGAAACAGTACTTGTGGTACAGTGTGGAATTTTCAGCACATATCTACAATATTGCATCTAATTTCATCGTACATTTAAAAGGAGTATTATAAAAAAAAATAAAATATAAAAAAAACAACAAAAACCAAAAAAAACAAACAGAGAAATAACAAAAAATGCAAATAAAAATACCATGTAAAAAGGAAGATCAACACAAATAATGAAAAAAATATTTCAGTATTGGTTAGTGGAAGCTACGATATGTGTATGCGTGGTGAACAGTAACAGCTATAATCATACAAGAAGTTATGAGATGTTCTTAAAAAAATGTTTACTACTCATGTAAACGTTTTCACATCAATTCCACCATAAGTGCTAAGCAGTATGATGTATTCAACTGATTACGCTACTATACTGGTTGTGCTGGTCTTTTTCGCACGCTGATTGAACAGTGCACAACCAGTCTACATTATTTTTTCTAAGAAGGCTGACATTAGATAACAGAATGTCCTTTTAATTTTTGAATAACCGATAAACATCTGAAAATGTTCATGCATCTTTCACTCCACCGGCGATTTACTCCGAAAGAATTACCGTGAATGTATATTTTACTAGGCATAAGAGTAAAGCAAGAAATGTTATGAATTCGGGTACATTTAGCTATTATTAAATTCATGTAATACCAAAATAAAGTACACTTTATACGCATGAAAGTTGACCATTTTGTTATTATTTTTCTCTCTCTAGTCTTGAGTGGAACATAAGACACATTTCCATTTAATTCTGTCCTCCACAGTCCCCTTCAGCTGCCTTCGTGGCTGACTTTAAGCTTTCGTCTTTTTTTAACCTGATCTACCCATTGTAGCCTTGAACTCATGCAGAACTTATCATTTCCAAGTAGGGTTCTACTCGTCCATCGCTTAATATCGCTCTGATGGTCACCTCAACATGTTTCCAGGCCATCTTTATTTCTTTCTTCATATTTTCCTAGGATGTAGATTCTTGTTTAGTTTGTTGCCTGCTAAAGTTTCCCCGTTGCTCAATCTCTCGCGCCATCTGATCTTCAGTGTTTAGCGAAGGCAGGTGTTGATGAATGGCAGCAGTCTGTTGGAGATGAAAATACTGGCTAGGCATTATTTTTAAGCCTACACAGCATAGCAAAAATACTAAGAAATAGACCAGAAGTTTTTGTCTTTGATTGAGAAGATAAGTTTTCTTTTAAAAATCCACTCCTCAGTGTAATTAAGGTTATTTGTGTCTTGTTATGTAAGTTCTTCAAAAAGTAAGGACAACACGATTGTTAGTGCCAGCTGGCACTCAGCGCTAATGTAGTCATTATGCATGTGAGTAATCTTCAGTTTGTGATAGGAAGTTTAAACTTTTGGATTACGTTGAC